ATTTATTCCTGTGATTTCAAAGCTATATTTTTAGCATCATTACTCCAGTCACATGATCCTTCAGAAATCATTCTAATATTCTGATTTGCTGCTCAAAAAACATTTATTATTATCTTGAAAACAGCGGAGTATAATTTTTTCAGGATTCTTTGATGAATAGAAAGTTCAGAAGAACAGAATTTATCTGAAATAGAAATCTTTTGTAACATTATAAATGTCTTTATTATCACTTTTGATCAATTTAAATCATCCTTGCTAAATAAAAGTATTAATTTCTATAATTTCATACCGACTCCAAGCTTTTGAATGGAATCGTGTATAATGTTACAAAAGGTTTTTATTTCAGATAAATGCTGATCTTTAGGTCTTTCTATTCATCAAAGAATCCTGAAAAAAAAATATTCTGTTTTAAATATTGATAATCAGCACTGTGATCATGTGACACTGAAGAATGGAGTAATGATGCAGAAAATTCAGCTTTGATCACAGGAATAAATTACATTTTAAAATATATTCAAATTGAAAGCAGTTATTTTAAATAGTAAAAATATTTAAATTTTTTTTGCTGTACTTTGGATCAAATAACTGCATGCAGGCTCGGTGAGCAGAAGAGAATTCTTAAAAACAAAAAGAAACATTAAAAATCTTACTGTTCAAAAACTTTTGACTGGAACACTTCTTTATTAGATAAAATAAAAATCCCATCGAAACTTTTCTGAAGACAGTCCTTTCCCTGTAGAGATACATTCATATAAAACACCCGCGACAAGTTTTGATTTTAAAACGTGCAGTGCTCATGTTTATTCAATGAAGTCAAACGCCACAAATAAATCAATGTATGGGAAACACTGGTAATGTAGGCTATATCGAAATATCGGAAATGTGTTTAAAAACCATATCACCGTTATTGAAAAAAATATATCGCGATACATATTGATATTGAATTATTGTCCAGCCCTAGTAGCTAGGCATACTTTTTTTTATTATTATTATTACTTTAAAACAAAAATCGGTTAGGGTTAGTTTTTAAAGTCATGTGGTGCAACCAACTTGAAAGAAAGAAAGAAAGAAAGATTATTTATTGACCTTGACACATAGTGTCAGATAATTTGACCTGATAGAGCAAGTTGTAAAATGTCACACGGTAAAACTCCCAAAATATTATTTGGGGACAAAATATAAAATGTATAAACCTTTTGAAAATGATTGAGATTGTATTTAAGGTGTAGAAAAAAATGTTATTCATTTTTATGGTCACACCATATAAACATTTTAGGTCAAAAGTGGTTGAAATTGTTGTTGAAAATGGTATTAAAGTTTTTCATAACCAACATGAAAACCAATTATATTTCTATTAATTTCTATGAATTTGACACATACAGTACATATTCATGAATTCCACCTGCAGGCTTACCAATTATGTGCATTGCTGACTGATTAAATTATTCATAGCTTCACAGTAAAATGGACATAAAACTTGACAAATTAAATTAACACTTAAAATATTAAATGAGGTCATAAGAAATAAACCCACCTGTGCCTTCTGTGGCATTAGACACTGTAAAAATGAAATACAGTCCTTGTTAATGTAATGAACAGAAATGATACATTATATATTTAGGCATACTTTAGAAAATGTGGTCATGTTTGCCCAGGCCACTAACTGCAATACCACACTACCCTTTAAAAATATGCCAAACCTACAGGTTACACTGGAAAAAACAGCGCAAACCAAACTATAAAAAAATAACACATCACTGTGACAGTGCTGAGCTGAACACTCAACACTGTACAAACTGAGCCCTCATTCTCATGCTGATGCATCTGATCACACCAAACTCTTTACCCATGCTCTGCAGGTCCTTCTGGTCGTGGTACAGACGCGTGACTCTCTCCATCAGCTCCCATTTCTCACAGCAGCCCTTATAGTCGACGAAGTTCCTGGCGAGAATCTCCTTCAACTGCCGGACACTCAGAGCCTCAATGTCCTCCACTGATCGGAGGTCAGAGAGAGACGCCCGTCGCCCCGGAGCCAGCACTTCCTCAGAGTCTGAAGACTGACACAGAGAAAGACAGCATGCAAACATCTGTTTATCTAGGCCTGAGAGGTAAATGATCTCTTGGCGTCCCAAATGCATGCAAACATCCCTCCACTGAGAGTGAAAGCCGACTTCAGAGAGCAAGAATCTGCCAAATCAAGGACAAATGCTAGAAAATGAAAGCGTGTCATTTTACTTTCACTTTTGCTGATTTAGAAACAGGTTTTAAGCCGCAACCACAAAGCAATCCAGAGATGAGCAAAAAGCCAAATTAGTTTTGCTGTCAAGTTTGGCCGACATAACACAAACTGACACTATGAGCAGAAAGATGTGACATGCCAAGATGGATGCAGAAGGAGATTAGAAAACACACACAGATTAATCGATTAATGAAAGGCAGTGTGAGGACAGTGTGTAACTCCACATCCTGCTATTATGTCAACATTATATGCTAATGCTAGGGTACAGATAACATGCCGAGTGTTCATTAACATCATGGTTTAAAGGTCTTGTTTAGATTACCTCTAAACTTCAGCCTTTTTATGATGATAAGGAGAGGTATTCGGTGTCATAACACTGGCCTTCCACCACACGGTAAATGTTGCGCTTATCTTTCTTAATGTAGCATTGAAAGACAGAGCATCCGTATTTGACCAACAGAGACTGTACATCAAATTCAGGAATGAAAGAACAAGGGGAGCCACATTAGGGTTGTGCAGATAGACGATAGTATCGTGTATCGTCGATAGTCAGAGATATCACATGTGGCTGATGCCTTTGACGATATCAGGCCTATTATTATTATTGTCCAATTAATATTAGGGCTTATTTGTCCCATCATATTTCTTTTTATGCTTTTTAACAATGTTGCACGTTATAACCAATCACAAACGATTCTGTTGAGCTTATGAATGCAATGACCAATCAGAGGCATTCAGAAAGAGTCATAGCTGAAACAGTGGAGTTTTGTTGTTTATTGCATGCGATCTCTGATTGAATTCTGCTCTCTCGCGAATTCTCTCATCATAAACAACGAAGCGCAGATGTACGTGCAATGCAAGTACAGAGACAGCTTCACTGATGAAAAATGAGTGTTTTTTAAAGTGCATAAACTCGCACTAGACTGAAGTCAGTGATGATGTTATTTGATAATGTAAATGTTCTTTGCTCGTTTTCTGTAGCTGCTGTTTGAATAGCAGGAATGGTAAGCATTATAATTAATTATAATGATTTTATTAAATTGTGATCTTGATAAATACAAATACAGGCAGTTGGAGTTCCTGGAGTTGGTTCACTGTCCAGCTATGAAACTAAGTAAATAATTAAATAAATTAGCATTCGTATATCGGCGATTTCACAGGTTGACTATGGAGCATATCGCCCAACACTAAGCCAAAACAATTAAAACACACGGTCAAAAGAGCCCATCCACCAGCCAAAGAAATGAAAATCCACCTTTTTTATTTAGTAAACGCATGTTATCTTTTTTTTTGGACTTCATAATGTTTAATCAAAACGACGTTAACTCAATCTTCTGGTGAAAATGACAGACTCCTCTCTGGTGACGTATGCAGGACTGTTGACGGCAGCAGAAGGCATCTGGACGTGAAAATGTTGAATATCAATCCACTAATTGACTTGTGATGCAGTCTAGACTCATAAATCACACCGTATTCATTCATCCAGGCCAGAGGAGAACCGGTCCTCCGACTGATGCTGGTTTTTCCTCAAGGTTTTTTTTTCTTTCTTTCTACATTTCTTTCACCTGATGGAGTTTTGGTTCCTAGCCACTGTCGCCTTTGGCTCGCTTAGCTGGGGTTTAAAAGACTCTTTGATATTCAGTATCAATATTGATTTGACGGCATAAGAATAAAACTTGAACTGACTTGAGCTGAATAATGACACTATTGTCTTCTGTAGAGCTGCTTTACAGCTGAATAGACTTTGTTTCATAACTGATCAACTTTACATAATTGTTGAACTGAATGGAATCAACCTGAACTGACTAGAGCTGAAGGATTGAAACAATCTGTATTGTATAAAGCACTATAGAAATAAACGTGATTTGACTTCCTCCAATCATTTAGTCCAGACCCCAACAATCGACTGCAAGCACACATTCAGTTTTAAGTGCAACACCCTCATCGATGGGTAGAATCAAATCCCAGACCCTTTTTTTCCCCGATAATCCATTATTCATCACAAGATTTGTTGCTACTTCCATTTATTGTAACTTTTCACACTAGTACTTTTCACCCCATATGTGAAAGATCAGTTGATCTGAATCACAAAACTGGTCTCAATGGCTTCATTCACTGGGAATGGATTAATCCCGATCTTTACCTAGTTGACAGAATCTTGACAGAGTCTTCATTTATGCATGAACTATCACTTTAAGATGTGAAAAGAGTAAAACAGACTTTCAAAGAAGCAGTGATTCATCCCAGCCTGCAGCCAAGCTTTTTCCCATGCTCACAGAACCCACATGGAAGCAGAAGACATTCTTTAAACTGACTCTGCTGCCAACGGCATAAATCATCTTTTCATTGCAGAAGAATGAGAGAGAGATTCCTAGGCATTCTGAAGCGCGACAGGTCACTGTTCTGTCCTCTGCCCCATTTAACGCCCCAGACAGCGCAGCAGCAAGAAGAGGAGGAGAGGTGAGGAGTTTCAGGAGGTACCTGCAACTCCTGCTCCACCTGCAGCTCAGCGTCCATCTCGCTTTCAGCTGTCGCCTCAGCCAAGCTCTAAGGGTCAAAGGTCACAGCCAACACAGTTTAACACAGCTGTGCTCCCTATCTAACTCACTTTAAGTTACAACAGATATTTTGCACACTCCTAAGTATTCTTAAGAGACAGTCTGTGTCAAAAGTGAGTCACACAAGTCATTTTAAAGCTGTGCTTTAACGTGTTGTGTGAACCAAACCGAGAAGTGAAGCACATGCAAGCGGATGTGTGCATAGATGACTTTTAAAATTCAATTCAAAAACAGATGAATGGTTTCCAAAAAAATATTGAGCAGCAAAAACTGTTTTCAAGATTTGGTAATAATAAAAAATGTTTCTTGATCAGATCAGCATATTAGAATGATTTCTGAAGGATCATGTGACACTGAAGACTGGAGTAATGATGCTGAAAATTCAGCTTTGATCACAAGAATAAATTACATTTTACAATATATTCACATTTGTGCTGTCAAAATTTGTGTTAACACAGACGATTAATTTTTCCACTTTAAAGGCATTAAAAATATTTAACGCAGTTAACGCAGGGGCGGAGCTAGGTTTGGCCACCCCACTCGCAGCTTCTCTCTTTTTTTCTTGACAAGAATGGCGTTTTTTAGAGGCAGAACATCTTTACAAAAACATCAAACAGGAGACTTTTTAGACGTGTACTCCACTTTGTTTCAGTGCCAGGCACAAGTCAAACGAGCACAGAAAACAGTACAGGTGACGAGGAGCTTCATTAGAACAACAGTGAACTGCAGTCAGATGAGATGTTGTCAGGACATTATGTCAGTAAAAATTAATTTTTCTGTCCTGTCAGTTGTTATACTGTGCTCGTAGCATGTGCTCTTCAATTGCACGCACAAATACGGCGGCGTGCACAGTAGCCTGTATCATTTCTTAAATTTCATAAATCATTAAATCATCAGATCCACATCACGTTCAGCAGTGGCAGCTCTTAAAGTAATAGCAGCTAAATAACCTAATAACCCTGCTGCTGTGACGTCTGTTAATCAAAGAAAAAAAAAAAAGGAAATCAATAACTTTTGTAGCATTAAGTATTCATCTATATTTAATTTACAATTTAGTGTTGGATAACTTTATTCAATTTCTGTACATTTCCTACTTGCAAATATGACATTTATAATAACGGGTTTATGTGAAGATTGTTTTAAGTTCACTTAAATTGGAAGCGGTCATTTTTAAAAGTCTAATAAATGTTCAAATTGATGGCTCTCAATTATAGTAATGTTGAATGGCTATAGTCAATGGTTAAATATTAGGAAAAAAGAATTTCCTAGAGACATTTTTATGACTCGCTTTCAGTCATAAAAAAGATGCCATTGAATACTAAGCATATACTATCTTCATGTTATTTCTACATTAATTTGAAGAAAAATCGTGGTTAATTTCAGAAAAATTTGTGCGATTAATTTGTTTTGTTTTTTTAATCGACTGACAGCATTAATTCACATGGGGATGGTTATTTTAAATTGTAATCATATTTCACAATATTACTGTTTTTACAGTGTTTTTCATTAAATAAGCGGTGGTCGCCTGAGACAAGGTCTTTACAGGGGATCTGTATCTGGGGCTCATCTAGTTGTCTTGGTCTCCGCTGTCTTTCAGGGCTGTAGAGGTCCTTTCTAGGTGCTGATCAACCATCTGGTTTTAAGGAGTGTTTAACACCATTAAGAACATTGCATTTTGCAATTGACAAGGACATTTACAGGGTGTAAGAACTGGGTCAAAAGCTACGCTCTATTACATCATTCTAAGCACATCCTCTGGTCACGACATTATGTCTGATAAACAATGAGCTGCACTGGATAATGCCAAAGGAGTCTGGGAAGTTTCTTCAGGAAATATTAACACAACAGAACTCAAGTGTAGTGTTCTGGAAGTCACAATGCCATTCAGTCAGAGCTGTGGAGCAATTGACTGCACGTAATCTCATTTCCTTCCACTCACTACTACTTTACTGCCTAAAATCCACATTCCTGTCAAATAAATGCACCCCAAAATCATTCATTCTCATTCAATATTCAGATGTGAAAACCATGTGAAAACCAACCTGGAAAGAGATGTGAGGATTTGGGGAGAAAAATTAAAGATTCTTAGTGCATTCCAGGGAATTTCATTCATGGTTTATATCGTAAATTAAATCGGAAGAGCAGACCACAAATGCACTGTGTATGTTGTCTTTTTTCATTTACTTAAAGAAGAATACAAAGGAAACATTAAAATAATCAGGAGGAAAATAATGCAGCGGGCTGAAAAGAGCTATTCTATAGGCTAGTTTATTGTTGTTATATCATGTCACATTAATATACCAAACGCAATTTTATTCTACTAACTTCTGAAAACAGAAAATAAATGAAAATGTACAGCCTATTCAGTCAAAATGACGGATAAGGATTATTTTTTTAGCGCAATCTTATGATTTGAAAGTCATTTTGAGAGTAACTTCCCCAAACTGGAAGTGCCTCCCACAATTTAAAATGCAGTAGGAAAAAGGTGGATACAACAAGCACCTCCCCAGTCATGTGTGAACACGCCCCTTACCGGTGATTGGTTACAAGTGTGTTTTGGTGCTCGGTTCGATCCACTTTGAACAGCGTTTCTGTTCTCAAATCTCTTACTGCACCTTTAAGGCCATGACACAAGTCGGCCAAACTTTTGCTGTTGCTAAGCATCAATCGGCCTAGTTTTCATGGTTTTTGCCACCAGTTCTTTCATGTTGGTTTGGTGTGTCACAGCCTTTACGTAGGTGAAATATTTTCTGAGGTCTAAGCCTGGTAGACGTTTCTGTAGAAGCAACACATCAATGCAATTCCAGCTTAATTTATAGGAAACTCTTTGCATTACCAAATTACTGGTGAAGCATTACACCACCAACAATTTTAAAGTGAAATACTCAAACAGAGTGAAACCAGTTGGGTTCTGGAAGTAAAAAAAAAAATGCCATTAATTTTCTCAACAATAGGGGAATTTATTTTTAATGATCACCTACAGTATACACTTTTAAAGACAAACTTACTGTGATCTTCAAGGTTGTTAATCAATGGTAAATGCGTTTGTTGAAGCCACGAGGCTACATTATTTAATATTGCCACTGAAAACTACATTGCCCATGATTCTGCAAATGAAATGAAAGCCTCCACTCACTCCCATGAAGCACTGTGAATGACAGAGTCAGTCTTGCTACGCTCTCAAGTCTCAAACTACTTAAA